GAGGGAGGGGGGGTTTGGGAGGGGGAGACGCGTGCTCTTGTGTAAGCGTATATTGAGCGCTGGCTTTCCTTTGCGTTTGGTGTGTGGATGGGGACATCAGTCAAGAGGGCATGTGGGCGGGGTGCCAGAAATCGGGCTGCCTGCGGCCAGCAACAGGAGCGCTAGCAATGACGGCAAAGCGCTGGCTGCACGCCTTTGCATCGACCACAAGGGTGGGCTGTGCGGGTACTTGCAAATGTGTGTGTTGGTGTGTGGCCGCGTGTGTCTCTTCTTTCACCCGGGCATGCCACCTACTGTACCTGCAGCGTGCTGAACGTGGCGTTGAGTGCGGCGCGGGTGGCGCGGAAACGGTCCAGCGTCGTGGCCTCAATGCTGGCGGACAGGTCGGGCTGCAGCTGGGAGGACACGTTCTGGAGGGGGCGCGGGGTGGGGAGGAAGCGGGGGCGAGAGTCACGAAGCGGTTGCATGGAGGACCCGTGACGCAGGGTCGACAGAGGGGGGTTTGCCAGATCCGCGAGGCGGGCTTGGTTGGAGGGCCCAGGATTTGCTTTCGCGTGTCGCTGGGACGAGCAGCGACAGTGGAGACGGCGGACTGCCGCCTTGACGAGCGGCCGCGCCGCCGGCGAGCGCGCGACCGAAGTGGCTCATGCGAGGCGCCGGCGCGGCGCCAGGGTTGTTTGCTGGGCCTCTGCTTGTGGCTCGCCCCGCCCCGCCCCACCTGCAGCTCGTAGGGTTTGAGGTCCAGGATGGCCTTGTCCACGATCACCAGGGTCACCTGGGGCCAGAAGGGGGGATATGAGCAGCAGCAGCTGGATGCTTGTTGTACCGTATTCAAGCTCAAAAGGGCGGGGCGGCACGGCAAGGGGGCGGGAGTCAAATGCTGGCTGAGGTTTGTGGGGGGTTCAAGGAGGTCGAGGAGCTGTCAACGCGGTGGATCGGAGGGAGGGGCCTTGGGCGTGGGTGCGTAGCTGGCGGGCGGGCGAGTTGGCGGCGGACCTGCGCTCCGGCCACGGGCCTGCCGTCCTTGTCTGTGACTTTGACCGCGATGTTGGCGGTCCTGTTGGGCGCGACCACTGCCACGCCGGCGGAGTTTTTGGCGCCAGAGTCGACGGAGACGGCGCAAGACAGGGAGGTGCCCTGTCGAGCAGGGGTTGGCGCAAGAGGGCCGGCGCGTGAATTCCAGGGAGACGCCGTACGGGTGGTTTTGGCGTGTGCACGGGCGGCAAGACAGGGGGACAGGGCCTGTGCTGTGTGTGCAGATGCAGGACAGGTGAAACAAACCCTGCAGCAAGGACGCATTGGAGAGTAGCGCTATCTGTCCATAAAGAGCCAGCCACTGGCATGAGGGAGGGCACGAATTCGCGCGTTCCCTGGGATCCCTCGCGCCCATGATGAGCAAAGAGCGAATCAGCAAGGCCACCGCACCTGCGGCACGTCAATATCCACAGACCCATCTGGCGTGTGCGGCGCCAGGGGGTCAAACAGCCGCGACACCGGCACGGCGGGCAGCGGCGCGAGCGCCTTGCCCGCCGCGGGGCGTGCGACTGAGAGCAGGACGCGCGCGGTGCAGCCGCCGAGGCACTCGGTACCGATGGGGCCTATGGTCAGGTTCGAGATGCCGGGGCCGACCTGTTGGGGCAAGGCAAGGTGCAGACGATTTGCACAATTGGTTGCAAGTTGGAGTGTCGATTTCTGGGAGACACACACCCATAGCACGCACGCACGCACGCGCGCGCGCACACACTCACATGCACACACACACGCATGCAAATGCACGCACACGCATGCACGCATGCACACCTACCCACACGAAAGCCCTCACCCCAGGCACACGGCACCAGAGAAGCCGCGGCGATTACCCCTGGCGCACACACGAAAGCTCCCAGGTGCGATCCCGACGCCCAGCCAGGTTTGGCACTCAAAAGTACTCGTCCCCCTCCCCACCTTCAAAAACACCTTCTGCTTGCGCTGCAGGCGGTTGCCCCACACCACCAGCGCGGAGGCGGGGCCCCAGTAGGGGTTCTGCACGACCAACGCCACAGACTGTTTGGCGCTGTACTGCGGCTTGTCCGCCAGGACCTGACGGGTTTGATGGGACAGAAGGTGGGTGGGTGGGTGGGGTGGTAAGAATGGCGTCACAGGCCTTGGAAAGAGGCCAACGACTGTTTGTAGTATTTATCAATGCAAGGGGTGGTGGGGATCTTGCAGGGGAAGAACCCCCTTGGACTAGTAGGTGAGGCACGGTCTTAGCAAGGCTCAAAAAACGTGCCGCAGGGCCGGCGCTCGCTGACCCTGCTGGCGAGCCACCCCTGTCCCCGTGCCACGAAGCGCAGTGCAGTGCAGCGCAGCACGGCGTGGCCCCCCCCCCTCGCCTTGATCTTGGGCTGCTCGTTCCAAGGGAAGCCCGCCCACTCTGTGGCGTTGCGCCCCAGGGTCACGTTGGTGCACGAGGCGTTGACGCATGCCCTGCGGAGGCGGCCGGGGGCGTGTTGGGGGCTCAGAGTCGCATTGTGCATGCGGCCGCGCGTTGGCCTGCGCGTACGGCAGGCACCCCTGCCTGCTAACAGCGGGCTGCAGGCGCACGGGGGAGGCCGCCGGTCCATTATATTGAGGGCGGTGGCTGACGGCGCCTCAAGCAACGCACTTGACAGCGAACGCGCCGACGCAGGGCAGCGCCAGCTGGCAGGCCCTGGCGGCTGCGACCGTGTCCCCAGACTTGATGCTGCAGGCCTTCTTGGCCAGGGCCGAGAGCTGCGCCGCAGTGCAGCCGGTCGCGCCGGCACTGCGCAGGGCGAGGCAAAGTGGGTGTGTTGGACAATGCGGTGTTGAGTTTGGAGATGTTGCATGCGGTGCAGCCAGCACCACCCAGGGTTGGGCGGGCAGGGAGGTGGGGCAATTGCATCTGGGTTGGTGGCAGCCACACAAAGGGCACTGCTGCAGGCAGCCGCCGTGGGCTGGCTGCAATTTCATGTCAGTCGTGCGGCCCATGTCGCCTGCAAGACATCATGGTGATGCCCCTCATGCGCGCTGCGCAAAACACACACAGACACACGCTTTCAATGCGCGCGACACATGCGCATGATTACTTGTATGTTCTGCTGGAAACACACGCGCGCACAAACACACACACACACACACACACCTGGTGTTAGCAGGCACCACGCTGATGGCCACCAGCGTGCCGTCCAGGGGCGCGTCATCCTCGTTGGAGTACGCGGCCGCGGTGACGCCAAAGGGCACGCCGGGCAGGTCGGTCTCCAGGGTGCGGCTCAGCTCGACGCGCACGGGGCCGTCGGCAATCCTTTGGGGAGGGGCGTCAGTTTTGGGAGGGGCCAGTGAAGGTTTGGGTTTAGGGTTTAGGGGTTATCTCGAGGCCCAGAAAGGAGGAGGGCGGAGAGTTGGATATGGTGCCACGCGCTGAGCTGGCGCAGTGCGGCATGTTTGCGAGCGAGATGGAGAGCCCGCGGGACGGCGCCCTTGCACCCCCTTGCGCATCAACACAAGCCCGCAGCAGGGGCCGAGCCGGCGAGCGTGCGCCCCCAGGCGTCTGCCCTCACTTGACGGTCCTGGACGCGAAAATGGGCTCCCGCGTGGGCCCGATCCAGGTGGCCCTGAGCTCGAGGGCGTCGCCCGCGCGCGTGGCGTTGGCGGCGCCAAGCTCCCCGAGGTCGATGGCGGCGCTGGCCCTGCCCTCAGAGTCCGTGGTGACCTGGGGGGGGGGGGGCAGCGGGGCGTAGTACGGATAAGTGCGTGTTTGTGGGTGAAAATGCGCATGCCGTTGATTGTATGTTTGTGTGTATGTGTGTGTGTATGTGTGTGTGTGTGTGTGGGTGTGTGTGTGTGTGGGGGGGGGGGTGAGGAAATAAGCGTTGGCAAAGCCTAGATGGGTGCCAACTGGTAGTTACTATGTGAGGTCTTGAGCAACATATTGATCTGAAACATGCGGGCACATGATGTTGGGAAGATGCACAGCGTTGCACGGCGGGAGAACGCTGAGGTTTGCGCAGCACAGACCCTCTGCATGATCTGGTGGCGGGTGCAGCTGGCACATGCCCCTAGCGGCCCCTCTCTCACACGCCCACCTCGATTTCGCCCTTGGCCTTGGGCAGCGTCCACGCCAGAGAGATGGACGCGTTGGCTACCTGGGCAGCGAAACATTCAGAGTTCAGACAACAGAGTGAGCGAGGGGCGGGCCCCACCGCCCCCGAGCACTAGCTAAGCAGTGCACTGCCCGCGTGACAGCAAGTCCTGGGCCTCGGCCCATGATGTGCGCCGCACCCACGCTGCTCCGGCCCCCTTGTCTGGTGACCTTGGCCCCAGTTTCACCCTCTCATCATGCTACGCGTGCTGCGACCACTTTGCAGGCCCACCCACCAGATAGGCAGACGGACAGACAGACAGACAGACAGACAGACAGACAGACAGACAGACAGACAGACAGACAGACAGACAGACAGACAGACAGACAGACAGACAGACAGACAGACAGACACACACACGCACACACTCCGCCCCACCTGCGTGCCGATGTAGCTCCTGGCGGTCAACTGAACGTTGACCCGGGCCCGGGGCGTCACCCACTTTGGCGCCGTCACGTTCAGCTCCGCCGTCGGCGGCCGCGGGTCGCCCACAGTAAACCCCGTGCTGCCCACGTTGGACAGCCCATCAGTATCGGATGCAGCGCCGCCGGTGGGGGGCACGAGGATCTTCGAAAGCGTCGCCGGCGCGGGGCCTGACCCGCGCGCGGCCGGCGGCGCCTTGGCGGGCGGCGCGGCGCCGGCCTTGGGCTTGGCCGGCGCGGGGATCGCGGCGGCGCCCTTGGGCGGTTGATTGGGCGCAAACGCGGCCTCCTTTGCGTCCGCGCTTGAGCTCGCGGCAGGCGGCAGCAGCGACCACTGGAGCAGGCCGCGCGCGGCCGGGGACGCGGCGCGGCGCGGCGGCGTGCGCTGCTTCGGCGTGCCGGGGGCGAGGATCGCCAGTGAGAACTCCCCGGGACGCGCATTCGAGGGGACAGGGATCTGGGCATGGAAAGACATGTGTGTGTGTGTGCGTGTTTGTAGGGTGGAGAATAGGAGGCTCAGAGTAAGCATTTGCTATGCGCGACAACAAGAAACAGAAAGAAATGCACAAACGTGGTTCGGCTCATCCAGGTGAGATTTCAACCGCTCGATCTCCTTGCAGTTTGTCAATGCAGCCGGCGGCCTGGCGTCACAACATGCTCAAAGACGGGACACGTGAACGTCCTCTTGTGTACCAAGCGCATTTACAATATTCCTGCGCCCCTGCAGCGTCGCTGGGCGGGTGGTTTCTTCTGACGCATGCGTTCCCCCACTCACCCGGATGTGGGCAGTGCCAAAGCTGTCGTCCACCTTTGCGGTCAGCAGCAGCGGCTGCTGCGAGGCCGGGTCAAAGCCGGGGCTGACCTGCGTGGCGCAAAACAGGACGCCATGGTGGCGCGGCGTCAGCGCTGTGCTTTCATGCGCGCACATGCGCCTATTTCATTGTGAAAGGAGAAGGGCAAGACAGGCGGGCGTTGTTGCCACCCGCACTCAGGGGAAATGAAGCTAGGGAAGCAGGCAGAGCCGCAACCATGCGCGCCCACCTGGAACACTATGGAGCCGAGGCCGGTCGGGGGCAGCATCTGGGCGCCACGCACGCGCTGGATGAAGGCTGCACGTAGGGAGGGGGGGGGGTGTATGCGGCGGTGCGGTCAACGCGCCGCGCGGGTGGCATTGCTTCGAGAAAGTGGCTGAAGGGGCGCACAGGGGGGGCTGGCTGCAGCACACTGCACTAAGCAGATGTCCAGCCCCCCTCTACGTACGCACGCACGGATGCAGACAAGCACACGCGCTTGCATGCGCACGCATGCATCGACCCTAAGCTTGCACAACCTGCTGCACATGCAGCATCCGCACAGAGGTACCACCACCCCCCTTTGCACCCCACCCGTGACGTGCAGGTCGTCCCCCGGCTTGACCAGGGGCCTGTCCAGCACCGCGACAGCAGAGTATGTGTTGTCCTGCGAGGCGTCGCGGAATGACGAGCCCGAGCTCACCTGCGATGCAGCAGCAGGGGAAGAGGCGGGAAACGGGTGGGGTTGGATAGCGTGGTAACGACGCGGTTTTACCAGGTTTTCAGACTTGGCGGTCTGGAGCAAAGCTCAGGAGGTGGGCGCACGAGCATGGGGGTAATACGAGTTGTGTGGTGCGCGGGGGGAGGGGAGGGGTGGCGCAGGGTGCCAACGCACAGCGCGGGGGGAGAGGGGACACTCAGGGACCGACGGCCGCCGCTCACCCGCGGCACCAGCAGTGGCCCTTGGCCGGGGGCGGTGACGAAGGCCGACACCTCGCGCTCCCGCAGGCTGCCGGCGCCGGCGCCGTTGCGGGCGAGGGAGATCGAGGCGCCGTCGATGACGCAGGTGCCGTCGGCGCCGGTGGTGCAGCTGGGGCCCGCGACAGCCGGGCCCTGAAGTTCGTCGTGGAAGGTCAAGCGAGGGGGCCAAGCGAGGTCAGGGTTTTGCAACGCGTTCCCAGGTGATGGATGCATGACGACAGCGCAGGCGGATGCGCAAGACACCGTCAAGGCAGATGGCGGTCCACTCACGCAGGGAGGGGCGCTTGTGCTCGCGCCCAGGGCAGGCAAGGTCGAAAAGCGAGCGAGTCCGCACAGATAGACAAAGCGAGCGGCGCGCCAACGTGCCAGCGGCCCTCACCGTCTGCAGGGGCGTGAAGTACAGCGACACCTTGGCGCCCCTGACCGGCGCCCCCGCGCCCTGGGAGTCCGTCACCCACGCGGTGACGTCCCCGTCGGCGCCGATGAACGCCGCCTGCAGGTTGCTCTGCAGCACGAGCGCCTCGCCGGTGACGACGAGGCTCTTTGTGGGGTAGCTCCGCTGCACGCAGCACGCGGCCGCGAGGGACAGGCCGGGGCCGGTCGGCAGCTGCAGGTCTTGGAAGGCCGGGGCCGCGTCAGAGGAGCGCGTGATGGAGGAGCCTGCAGGGTGGTGGATTTTGGGAGGGGGTTGGGGGGCTGGCGCAGGGGGTGGGGATGGGGCGGGCGAGGGCATCAGTGTGGCCAGCGGTGGGGCAAGCAGGGGTGGGGAGCCTGCATGGAATCTTGCTGTTGCCTGCCGATTGCCCCTCACCACCCACTCCCGTTGCAGTACGATCGCTGTACATGAAAGCCGGTGCTGCCGCCGCCGCCGCCGCAGCAGCAGCAGTAGCGGCAGCGGCAGCGGCAGCAGCAAAAGCAGCAGGGCAGCAGCAGTCGCAGCAGCAGCGGCGGCTGAACCAGCAAATACGCACCCGAGGTGCCAAGGCTGTCTGGCGGCAAGCCGTAGTAGCTGTTGATCCCGGCAATCAGGCGCGGCACGTCGTCCGCCCCCAACCTCCACTGCTGCGCCGTGCGCGCCTCCCCGGGCTTGCCGCGCGACACCCACGGCCAGGTCAGCGTGGCGGCGCCCGCGGTCGCCTCGAAGATCACAAACTTGTCCGAGACCTGAGGGGTGGGTGGGGGTGTGGAAATGGAGTCACCTCAAACATCACAAGTTTGTCGGATGGCTTGTGTGCGTGAATGCGCGCGCGCGCGCGTGTGTGTGTGTGTGTGTGTGTTGGAGACACCAGGTTGTGGGGTTGGTGGGTGCTAGTTGACCCAGAGAACGCGGTCAGCAATGGAGGGGCAATCGCGGGCCATCACCCAGCCCAATGGTCTGGGCCCAGACATGCTGAGACGCGTGGGCAGCGCCATACGCTGCTGCGCCCTGGGAACAGGGGACCCTCCCTCGCAAACTTTAGTACGTGGAGCGAGCAGCACGCACCCACCTCAGGCCCCTGGAAGGCTGGGTCGAGCGACCTGCTCCAGAACACGGTGCTCAGGGGCTGCGGCGACAGCGGCGCAAGGGGGGGTGGCATGGGAGGCAGGAAACAACTCCCTTTCGCCAAGGACGGAGCTGAGTGCTTAGGAGGGCGCGTTTGCTTCCCCACATCTCAACGTGCGATCTCAACACGCCAGGATTGCGCGTGTGGGCGTGCGAGCGAGGAGCCCCATGGTGCCGCTCCCCTCCCGTCAAAGTGACAGCGCTCCAAGGGGGAGACCGCCCCCGCGCAGCCCTCCTGCCCACGCACCTGCAGGGCCAGCCCAAACGCGTCCTTCACCCTGTCGCTGCCCTTCACCTCCACCCTGTACCGCTGCCGCGGCTCCAGCCCCGGCACGCCCATCCTCAGCCGCCCCTTGGCCAGCCGCGTAAGGTTGAAGCCCAGGGGCGCGCACGGCGAGTTGGCGTTGCGCGGGTTGGAGAGCTTGCAGATGGAGAGCAGGGGCTGCAGGTCGGCCGGGGTGACGCCCGCGGCCAGGCCGTGGGGCAGCCACATGTCCAGGCGACGGAAGCTGCGCGGGCGCAAATGTGCGTATTTGTTGGGCGAGGGGGGCCGTCTGAGAACGTTGTGACGGGTGGCCGCAGGCAGCAGGGGCGCACAGCTCGGGGCCGCGAGATGCGGGCTCGGCAAAACGCAAGGGCTGCCGCAGCAGCACGCCGCGAGCCCCCAGCGAATCCTGCCGCGCGTGCGCACCTGACGCCGTCGTAGATCGCGTCGTCGGGGCCCCCCTCAAACGGCCGCCAGTCCTGCCTCAGCGGGATCCTGAACCGCCGCAGCCCAAACACGTCAACGTCGTGGTCCGACTGCGCAGGCCCGGCCAGCGCGCTGTACCGCGCGCCCTTTGGCAGCCGCAGCTTGGCGCCGGCGCCGGGCGGCAGCGCGGGGGTCAGCTGGACGACGGCGCAGGAGGCGCTCTTGCGGAGGAGGTCGGCGGGGGACGTGCGGCCGGCGGCGGCCGCGGGGACTGGCGGAGCGACGGGGATGGGTGTCGTGGTGTGTGTGCGTGCAGACGCGTGAGATGGGCATAGCGTGAGTGTGCTGTGCCTGTGCTGACAAGCGTAAAACTCCTTACATCGAGGGGCGAGCAAGCAAGGCCATACGCACGATCAGCTGGCGAGCTCCTTTGCGCCCCCCCCCCCCCGTGCCTGCCCAGCTGCGCGCTCACAGAACAGCGGCCGCGGCGTGAAGACCGGCTCGTCGCAGGGCAGCACGGTGGCCTTGGAGTTGAGGGCGGCGCCCGCGCCCTTGCCGGGCAGCACCTGCAGCGCCGCCGCCAGGCGCGAGAGCTCCACGGGGTACGTGAAGGACAGCGTGATGTTGGCTGGGGGGGTTGTGAGGGTGAGAGTGTGAGCAGTGGTGGGTGGGGTGAGGGGGGAAGACAGGTGAGATGGTGCGGGGTGGGTGAGGGCCGCAGGTGCCGCTGCGACAACGGGCAGCGGTGGCCAGCCGTCAAAGCAGTACAAGAGAGAACAGTGGCTGCACGCGAAGGGCACAGGCATGCCCAATGCTGCTGCTCGGGCACGAAGGCAAAGGACATGCGCCACGTAATTGTTCGACAAGAATGGGGGACGTCACAACACATTGGGGAGCGGGCACCACGACCCGTCTCGCCCGCCCTGCAACACCGCTCATGCCAGCCACGCGACCACCGGCTACCCTGCCCACCCATCAACCCCTCACCTCCCGGCGGCACCTCCGGCAGGCTGTCGTCGGGCAGGCCCACGTTGTAGCTCCACAGGCCGCTGGTGGCATTGTCGGCCGCCTGGGAGCTGACGCCGCTCAGGGTCACGGCGATCTCCGCTGTCGCCAGCTTGACGCTCGCCACGTTGCCAGCCAGGTCCAGCGCCACCCCTGCATCGCGTCAAACGGTTGTAACGACACATGCTATCGTTAGACATGTGCGCGGGTCGAGCGTACGCGGGCTGAGTGGTGGGGTGTGAACGGGCGGGCCGGGCGCGAGCAACCAGCAGCTAGCGCGAACGGGCGAGCCCAGCGTGAAGTGCCCATGCGGCGCCCCTCTTGACCTTCTCTCTGAGCAACCCCATCCCTTCTCCTCTGCTCAGCCTCGACCCCTTCCCTTCCTCTTCAACCTTCTCTGCCCCGCACCTACACCCCTCAACACCCGCCCTGCTACCCACAAACCCCACCAAGCCCTGTCCCGCACCCCCCAACCCGGCAGCCCCCCGCACCGTCAAAGGACTTGAGGCCCTTGTTCCAGTCAAAGGTGCAGGCCAGGTCAGTGGGCCAGTCCACGCTGGGGTCGAAGCGCGCGATGTTGGTCGTCACCCAGCGCAGGCGGCCGGGGGTGTTGCACGACAGCGTGAACGGGGTCTGGGCGGGGGCGAGTGCGGGGGGGAGCGGTGGGAAGGTGCCGAGTGAGTGAGCTGCTGGGCCACCGCACTCTGGGCGCACAGCATTTTCGATGTTCCCTGAAGCGGCTGTCAAGCTTGTCCCCATGCGAAGCACGGCACGGGCTGCAGCCGCACGCCGGCCGCGCACAGCAGTGCACGTGCAATGCAAGTCGCCATGTGTGGCTGGGGGCAGTCAGCCGCGCGCACCAGCTCCTTGGGGAGTTCCTTCTGGCCCCAGTCGGCGCCTAGCGCAATCACGGGGCGGCTGAAGACCGCCTGCATTGGTGGGGGCAGGGCGAGTCGGCGTCGAGCGATTGCCGATGGGTGGGTGGGGTGAGGGTATTTTGAAGTGCATGTTGTGAATGTTCACAGTGGACATCCGCATGGGGCTTTGGGGGACCCATGCCAACGCGCAGGTAATTCAGGCATGCACGCATGCTATTGGTGTGCACGACCATGTGCATGGCAAGCTGCTATGGGGTTGGCAAGACGCCCGCCCCATCTGCTGCGCTTGGCCGCCATTGGGTTCAACCGCAGCGCTGCTCCGCAGCCACCACCCACTGGCCCCCTGCCGCCCTGTTCAGTATCCGCCCACCGTGATGGCCTGGCGCTGCACCAGCGTCACGATTGCACTGGCGCTATCGGTAAGCAGCTCGCTGGGCGTGGTCACAAGCGGCCTGAGGGGCAGTTCTTCCTGCAAAAATGCCTGCGCGTCCGCGCGCCGCACCACCGCGGCAGCACACAGCATTGCCAGCAGCAGGCCGCGCCTCGCCATAATTGCGCAAGGGCGTCTGCAAGAGGCACGGCGGTTGGTCGGGGGAAAGGGCATGGTGCGCGTGGTGGGAACAGGTGGCAGCTGCAGCGGGTGTGTAGGAGCTGGGGTGCGGCTGAGCCGCAAGGGTGGGTTGGCGCCCCCAGCACCCCTGTCCACCGGAGTCGGTGACTTTCAGTGTATATAGTTTTCCGTCGACACCTTTCCGACCCGGGATGAGTACATAGTGCGGTGTGTCACTCGTTCATCACGGTCGCGGTCTTCACCTGTGATTCCGGACTGAATCCGACATTCAACACGCCTCAATCTGCATCGAGCTGGGCCTCGTATACAGCTCGCGCCTTGTCAACGGCCGAATGTTGATCAGATCTAGACGCGTGTGTACAAAGTGCGTCTCAATTTGGAAGTAACCAACAAAAAATACTGGTATTGTAGCGGACTGCTGATGCGAGTCCTGGGCTCCACAGCCTGCGGGCCGCAGCGGCACTTCCGATGCGAAGGCAGCTGCCCCACAGCGCCGCCACCGAGCTACATTGGGTGCCTGCAGCTCCTGAAGCACACCTGCCGGCTAGCTGGTATGAAATAAGCAGGTCTTCGAAAATAATACCAGGTCCTGCACACGTATGCAGCGTTTGGTTTTCTCTGTGTTTCGGTCATTGGTTGCGCATCATTGTGGTTCCCCATGATAACCTTTACTACGGTCACGGGTTCGGCCCTGCAACGCGGTTCTTCACTGGTCTTCAACCTGTTCAGGGAAAGCTCGCCCACCTTCGGGTGTTCTTGGAACAACTCAGCAAGGTGCAGCCAGCACCTGGCGAGGTTAACAACACCTGGAGCAACAGTGTGTTGGGTGCAACTCAAGACAATCACAACAGGAGCTTGATGGCGCCAGAAAATCTTCAGGAAATGCCAGCGCGAGCGGAGTACAGTAATCAGGTGCCAACCACTAATAAACAATGTTGGAGCACTGTGTGGCTCCGTCATGTGAGGCGGCCCTCCTACACAGCAAGTTTCATCATACATGGGCTGGCTGCAAAACCTTGAGACAAGCACGGCTGTGCCTGGGCTCTCGACAGACACCCAGAGAGGCAGACTTGTCACAGTGGCTGCTGGCGTTGGGTAGGACCGCCGTGACTCTGCGGATGGCCTGATGGGGCTGCCCTGCAAGCAGCTCAGCCCAATAAGCGGCCTTGTACATGGGATGTACGTGTTGCTCAACATAACATGTGCTCTCCACTGACAAACACCAGGCGTTGAGTACTGAATGCTTACACACTTTGGGTGCTTGCCTCAACTGCAAGTTTTTCAAGAGCCCACGGCATGGGCGTCGTTCAATGCCCTGGAGATTGTGTGGTGGTTGCATGCGGCGCGGCGGCAGACACCAGCAGGGCGCTATGTCTACATCGGCCAGGTTGTGGTGACGCACAAGGTACAAAGTTCAGCAGTGGGGTCGGCGGGGCATTGGCCCTCAACAGGCGAACTGAACGCCGAACCCAACAGGCGAACTGAACGCTATTCTTTTGACAGTATTCAAGCCTTCAATTGGTTGTTACATGCACGGTATTCTTCAATACAAAATCATCCGCCCACCTGTTCTGCTGAGTCAGCATGCAGTCACTGCGACCAAGCACCGAGGGGAGTCCATGGGACAGGGCCATTGACCAGCATTGACCCGAGCACCCATCGCAAAACGACAATCCCTACTTCAATGTCCCTCTTTACTCATCATACAGCGCTATCGAAACCAACGAATGCGGTTGAACGGAGGGCGCCTGTCTGGCTCAATTCACATGCATCCGATCCAGGTCGATTGAGTAAAGCCTAATTGCGTCCCTTGGCAAGGTTTCTTCACCGTGCAGTGCACCGTTTCTTGGATGACCCAAGTCCCGTCTTTTGATATGGAGGCACGGTCGGCCACAGAATTTTCAGTCTCGTATATGCTCAAGAAGCCTGCGACGACATACACTGGTCGCACCAGGCTGAGACTCAGCGTTGGGGGCTGCATTTGCAGGGTGAGTGATGGGTCTGCGTGGGCCGCGGGTGCTGCGAGCAGACGCAGCCATGGCAGCGACAGTGATGTCAAAATCTAGAAATAAGCGCGTGCCAACTGCCTGCACGCGCGAGCCGCATGCGCGCGACTCCACAAGGCGTGCTGCTCTGTGTCATGCCCGCTGGGCAACCGCCTGGCCGAGGCGCCCTGCGTTTGTTTTGTACAAGCAGAAGCTATTCGATACACAATTGATGTCATATCATATTCTGAAAGCGCGGCCTACGCCAACCAGCACAGTGTGTGCCGAGTCAAAACGCCGCCCCCCTCCCGCTGCGCCTTGTTCACCCCGTGCATCCCTCCAGTCCACCGCCGGTGACTTCTCCTACTCGGGCGGCCACTATCATGACGTGAGCCTCCCAGAAAACTTAATGTATGCGGACGTCATGTACCAGCTGTCAGAGAAGCTGCAGGCGGCTGTGATCCTCTGCTACCAGCCGCCGGGCATGGCGCTGGATCCAGAGACACTGGTGGCGGTCACGGGCGACGACGCACTCTGGGTGAGGCGCGCCACGCCTGCTGCTGGGCAGGGGAAGGAGCAAGCTGCATGTATATTCTTGGCTTGACCTACGGCGGCCAGCGAGCAAAGTGGAGCAACAGAGAGCCAAAGGGGGCGGCTGGACCGCTGGCGCCAGCGGCTCACGTGGTCCGCGGACGTCCGGTGTTCCTCTGCGTGTGCACTCATGCGCACCTGTTGCAGCACACCACCTTTCAACGGCACCACTTTACTGCTCTTTTGTCCCTCCAGGAGCTCAGGCGGCTTCACATGGCGCACATGTGCCGCACCGGCGCACCCGGCACGGGGTTTCGCGTCCGCTGCTTCGTGTTTGCTGCGAGCGAGGAGCCCCTGACACCAGAGGCGGCTCTGGGCGGCACATGAGGAGGCCGCGACGCCGTCAGGTGCAAGTGAGCAAGCAGGGGCGTTGTGTGCCGGCGCAGCGCCGGCGCTGGGAAGGGCGTGCGTGGCTTCGGGTTGAGGCGTGAGGGGCAGGGTGGGGGGATCACTCGGAGGGATCACTCGAGGGACAGATTTGCAGAAATTGTTGGGCTGCTGAAGAGAGCCCTGGAAGGGCTGGCGACTGCATTGCTATGGAAGGCAATGTTGTCCCAGACAGGGCGGCACCGAAACCGCTCTTTCAGCACCCCTGCCCGCCCCCACCCCTCCGCCTCCCACCGCAGCCCTCAGGGCACGGCGGTCTTCTTCGGCGGCGTCTGCAGCGGCGCGGACAGGTCAAACGTTGGCTCACTGCCGGAGCAGAGCGCGATTCTACACGGACAGATGGCTCCTGGCCGGACCGGAGCGGCAATTCTGGCAACACCAGCAGCGCCGCCAATGTGCTGCCTGTTGACGCTGAGGCGCACGGCGGTCAGCCGCGGCGGAGTCGCTGGGGCTTCGCCTCAGGGGCGCGCCTGGAGCAGGTGGCAGGCACCAGAAGAGGCGAGGTCGGGCGCCGCGGTTGAAGCAGGAAGCGATGGCGCTTTGCGATGTGTCCACACAAAAAGCGCGGCTGCTGTTGCGCACTGGCGGGCACATACAGGAACGGCGGCATCCAACCCAATTCTGGAGGTGTGCTGCAGCGGCGGGGGCGCCGCTGGCGCAGCGTGGCCTCTCACAGCTGACCGGCGGCCGGCGCTGGAGGCGGCGCAGCAGGGGGAGGAGGGGCGGCATGTGCGGTGCCAAGGCGCCGCTGGACAACCCGTGTAGGCAGCTGGGTGAGCTTTGGGCGGCGGCAGGCAAGAGGGGGTTGGCGAGGCGCCTGACAGGCAGCGAGCAGCACACCTGCCATGCGTCGAACTTCCGCAGCACTAGGCTGCCAGCCAGATGTTTGCACGGCAGGTGCCACGCAGAACGTGCGTCCCACCTCAACATGCCCTCCTCGGACCCCCATTTGTATTGCAGCAGCGGCCCACATGCTGCACGACCCCCTCCCCCCGGCCATGCGCCTTCATCCCCTTCACGGCTGCTCCGCTGCACCCGTTCTAAACCGCCCGCCCGCCCGGCTTCGCGGCTGCTGCCTTGTGGCAGTGTTTCCCAAGCTCTGGGGCAGCGACTGGCGCTGCCCAACAGGCCGTGAGAAATCAGAGGCAGAGTGCAGCGAGAGCACAGCCAGCCCCGCATCACGCGCGCCCCGCCCCAGCAGCTGCGACATTCAGGGCAGCCGCGGTGGTGGCGCCTCCTGCGGAGGCCTGCAAGCAGGCGCCGCCACGCCGGCGCGTGTGGGCGCAGCCATAAAGGGTCTGCCTGCGTGCCGCCGCCGGCGGGCGATGAAGCCGCAGAGGCCCACCTGGGGACCGGACGACGGCGCATGCAGGAGCGGCTGCGGCGCTGCGCAAGCGGCTGCGCTGCAGGCCGCCGCTCTGCCTGTCTCCACTGGATGCGGGACCAGCGTCTGCAACTGGCGTTCGGGCGGCGACGGAGCTGGGGGCGATGGCGACGAGCGGGCCCGTTGCGGCGCGAATCGGGATCAGAGCTCCAGCCTTGACATTTGTGGTGCGAGGCTGCGAAATCAGTGGCACACGCGGCGCGGTCTGCTACAGCCAAGGTGAGAGTGGAGGTGGTTGCCGCGGTCGGGGTGGCGCGCCAGGGCGGGCGGGCCAGGCGCAGGTGCCGTTTTTGGTCTCTGTGGCCTTTCACTGGCTCCAGGTGCGTAGGCGCGCCTGGGAGCGTGCTGGTGTTGGACGACGGAGATTCCCTTCGAGTTGAGGTCTGGGTTGACATGCGCATGCGATGAAGCCCATCGGCCCACCCACAGACCTAACCCAAGGTGTTGAGGTCAAAAATTAAATCCTCCTTTTTGCGGCCTCGACCTGACCCCACCCGCTCGCCCCCGTCATGCCTGCATATCGGCAGGTGCTTTCAGCCCGCCGCCACTGTCCTGGGGGAAGCCGCCACGCCAACCAGCACCAGAGGCACCAGAGGCCCTCCGCGTCGACGCCACCGTGACAAACGATGATGTCACACCCCTTCGGCCGTGAAGCTCCCGCCGCCTGCCGGAGCATTTTCAGCAGCCTCGCCACGCTGCACAGCGGCGCGCCTGTGCATGCCAGGCGGGCGCAAGCGCTTCTTGAGCGCGGCAGCTGCCCGGCCTCTGCGCCAATGCGCCTTTGCCTGAGAGATGTAGTGGACCATGGAGCTCTACCTTGAGGGCCTCATGTTGGACAAATGTGTGACCGCATCGCTGCAGCGGCATCTGCGGGTACGCAAGCTGCATGCATGCCTGGGTGCCACGGGGGCTGTGGCGTGAAAAGATGGAACTCGCTTTGAGCGTGCACGGCGCGGCAAGGCATAGCCGCTCCTGGCTGGGCAGCACCTTGGTCCCCCGTCCCCACAACGCGCTGGCTTATTCCAGGCCCAAGGCATTTCCCATGCACAAACACTGCCGTAGCTACAATAGGCGTGACAGAGCATGTCATACAGAGTTGTAACCCGTCCGGCGCCAAATTGTCACAATGGCCCCTGCTTGTGGCGAAAACTTGTGACCAAGGGCCCGTCTACACTGGAGTCAGCAGGGTCAAATTGGTCTGCATGCAAAACCGGTTAGGTGTATCTATGCTGAGTACACTCGAGTTTGGTTGGGAGGGCCAACCACCCCTCACATGGCAGAAGCACCAAGAAACATTGGGGTAAAAACGCATTGCGTGTGCCTTTGTGCAGGCACGGCAAACAGATAAGGCCTACCCAATGGCTGACAGGATAGAAGGCCCCATGAATTGATGGGACCCCACAAACAGCAAAGCCACCATTGTTAGGCCTTGTCAACCAGCCTGGCGAGAGGTGTTCATCCCAGTATCCCAAACTTGGGATTATTCGAAAACAATCCCACTGCCGCGTGCCAGTACGCACAGCCACAACCCGCCCAACTTGCACGCCGTGCATGCGCCAAGCCTTGTCACCGCGGTCGTGGCTGCTGCAGCCACTGTCGATGCCCATGCCTCTACTACCTCCTTCCCAACCAGCAGCGTTGCTGCATCGCCGTGCGTGTTCCATCAAGCGCCGTCAATGGCGCGCTTGGTCGCAATGGACCCAGCTGGGCCAGCATGGGCACCCGTAAAGGCTTCTACTGTCTGGTCAGACTCGCCGCGGCGCTCGTCTCCGGGCCTGCCACTGCTGTGTGGGCAGCGAGAGGGGCCCTGATGATGTGACAGCCTGCTGTGCTGCAGGCCCCCAGCGGCAGACCCCGGTCTCAACCACCATCGCCGCCGGCACTGCCACAACAGTGGCACCACTGCTGCCGCAGTGCCTTTCCCCAAGTGCAGCTGCCGGGCGGCAGTCTGCAGGTAGCCCGTCAAACCTTCAACGTACGCGCCCTAGGCATGCGGCGGATGCTGCAGCACGCCTTGGCACGCCCTTCTGTCGATTAAGCAGGGGCAGGGCAGGTGTGAGGGGCAACGATGTTTTGGAAGGTAGGCCAGCCAGCACACGAGGCGTGCAACATCATGAAAGCGAGTGCAGCTCCGCTCCTCCGCGCCACCCAGACCGCCCCCGGTCGCAAGCCTACCCTTGCCTGCTCTCACCGGGTCACGTAAATATTCCCAGATGGACCAGAAGCCTGGAGCACCGTGCGTGCACAGTGCCATGTGCGGGCAGGCCGTAGTGTGCCAGAATGGTGTTGACCGTGGCCCCAGAAGCCCGCCTCACGTTATCGAGCGTGAGGGGGGGATGATGTGGCTTGTGTCCGGCGCTGTTGCGAAGCCACATGACCTCCTGGCGCGCACTGAGTCGGTTGTTCATAAGCCGGGCACGTTCATTGTAATCCTGCACCTCAGCTTGCTGCTGCATCTGCTGCGGTATCTGCTGCTGCATCTGCTGCAGCTGCTGGGGCACCTGCTGCTGCAACTGCTGCAACTGCTGCTGCACCTGCTGTACTTGCTGCTGCAGCTGTTGCACCTGCTGCTGTATCTGCTGCATCTGCTGCTGCATTTGCTCCAGCCCTGGCAGAATATGCGCTGGCACCTGCGGCTGCACTGCAGGTTGCCACTTTGGTAGATGCTAGGTCTTAGCCGCTAACCCTCCCGCAGCTTGCTCCAGGTGTCAAGAATACTGCGTGATGTTGGCTGCGTTGGGTGCAGCCATCCTGCTCAGAGGCTCGGGTGTGAAGAAGGAGTGGGGGCGCAATGTTGGCATGTTGTAAGCGGGGTGTACGCGCGGGCGAATGCATGGCGTCTGGCACACTTGCAACATCCAGACGACCAACAGAGAATAAGGTAAGGTACCTAGACACAGCACTGCTCCAGCCCTGTGCGCCGATGGCTCGACAGGGCAATACAATGATGCACGATGGGTGCTGAGCAGGGCCAAGAGGGAGTGTTCTCTGAACCGTCACTGCACAACAATTACAAGTTCCATACACCCAGAACCTGCGCGGGCACCACTCTGCCTGGACCCATTTCTCAGCCTCGAAGGCAGCTGACAGCAAGCGCGGCCCACCTGTGCAGTTGCTTGGTGGTATGACGTGCGCCGACAAGTGTGCCGCACAAGGCCACCAGCTGCTCACAGGCGGCAGTGCGAGGGAGGGCGTGCGTACATCAGTTGCGAGAGCTTCGTGTCCACAGGGGGAGCGCATGTTGGGCACCAGTCACCAGAAAGCTGGTTATCTGACTTGCCGCGGACGGTTCTTGGCGCTTCGGTCGTGCCTGCATGTGCGCCTCATCAGAACGTGCAAAGCAGCTAGGGTGGAGCGCGCCGCAGCGTGCTGACTCTCACCTAATCTGTGATGCTCTCCTGCAACTTTGTGGACAAACAACGCCCTGCAAAACGAAGGTCGGTGCTGTGCCCGCGGAGCCTTGCTGTAGTAGCAAGCTCACCCAGATGACAAGCGTGCGGTCAAAGGGATGCTAGAACATCTTCTAACATGAAAATAATATATATAAATATGTGGC